AGACAAGGACACGGGAAGCCATGCTCCGAAGACGGGGCAAGGAGGGGTGGCCAAGACGGTGGTGCCACAGGAGAGTCTCGTGAGACAGGAGGCGACAAGAACAGGGGGCAGACTCAGGACCTGACCGGGAAGCAGCAGCAAACACCTGACCTGACGCAGCTACCCGACCAGACGCAGGGACAGGAGGAGACGAAGTGGTCAGGGTGTAGAGACTCGACCCCGGCCGACGCGAGAACGTGGCCAGGTGTCGGCCTGTGTCTGCGTCCGTGCAGTGGGTCACCCGTCGCCTCGCAGGAGTGAACTGGTGAACCCCCGCATCCTGTAGGTCCGCACCACTCACCAAGTTCGTAGAGAACGAGGGAAGGTACAGACCAGACAGGGTGCCCGAAGGGGCAGCCGGACACGGGAGGACAGTGGAGAAGTGAGACAGGACAGGACCCCCAGAGGGGTCAGCAAGGGAGAGCGCAACCGGCCGGCCAAGAGGCGTAAGGGTAGTGCGGTCTCGAAAGAAGGAGCGAGAAGCCCCAGAGTCAAGTGTGAAAGTGAGGGAGGACGAGGGCGACGCAGTACCTGAGAGCGCAGTCTCACCAGCACCTGAGAGCGCAGTCTCACTAGTACCTGAGAGCGCAGACGCACTGGCACCTAGAGCAGCAGCCTCACAAGTACCTAGCGCAGCAGTACCAATGCCCGGGTCGGGCTGGAAACACCGGTAACCCTCATTCTCCTCACTATAAGTCACAGCATACATAGCAGAAAGGATAGCATCAAAATCAAGATCAAAGATCGCTACACCAGCCCTAAGGAGCTCATCCCAGCGAGGGATCTCACTAGCCCCGGGGAACTGCTGACGCCAAGCGTCCGTGAGGCGGCCAAAGCAGCGCTGGGTGGAGTGGGCACCCCCACACTGCTCACCCGCGCGGTCGCCGGAACGAAGAACGTAGGCGCAGGGACCAGTACCCCCACCCCTCTGACGCGCAGCGTACCACTCACGAAGCTGCTGAGGCGGAGGGATGTCCCGCGAACGCTGCTGCTGCTGCCGCTGCGAGCGCTGGGCACCACCACCGCCGCTCCGCTGCTGGGTACCACCACGACCAGCTCCACCTCCTCCACCACCACCGCCTCCTTCGCCGCCGCCTCCACTGCCTCCACCTCCACCGCCTCCGCTCCCGCTGCTGCCTCCACCACCACCGCTGGCACTACCACTACCGTCTCCGCCGCTGCCACCACCACCACCACCACCACCACCACTACTCCCGCCGCCACCCCCACTCCCTCCGCCGCCTCCGCCGCCACCGCCACCGCCCCCTCCAGCTCCGCCCGCGCCCTTGCCCCCCTTGCCCTTGCTAGAGCGACGTCTCCCACTAGGGGCAGACGCCGCGCCGACCGACTCAAGACCAAGCAGGTCGGCCGCAGCAGCAGAGGCAACAGAGGGCAGCAAGGGGGAAGGAGAGCACCCCTCAAAGATGGGGGTGCGAGGGTCACCACGAGAGGCACCTACAGCGACTATGCTCTTCTCCGCTGCGAGGAGGGCCTTCTCGAGGAGGTCGACGGTGAGAGTGGTGGGACAGACTGCGAGAAAGTGGTCCCTGACTACGCGGAGGGAGTCAGGGAGGCGCGCGACTACGTAGTAGAGAGTGATGTACATGGGGGGGGGGTTCTTAGCGCAGAACTGAGCAGGAAGGGCGGCGCGGTAGCGAGTGTCACTAGTGCGGAGGTGCGTAATGAGGTCAGTGACAGTGGGAAAGACAGAGAGGTCAGGAAAGAGGTAGGGAAGCATGAGACGGCTCAGTGCAGCAGTGGCAGGGGAGGAGTAGCGCGCAACTACAGCGTCGTACAAGGTCTGAGCACTCTTGTACTGACTAAAGTGCGCACGCTCAGAGGTAGGGAGGTGGCGACGCACAGCAAGACGTGCAGCAGCATCGCGGGTGGCCCACTGAGAGCGGACAGTGGGATCAGCATCGGCAGCAGGAGCAGGAGAGGCGCCAGAGGTGAGGTCAAAGAGAGAAAGGCTGTCAGCTCTGTCGCACTGTAAGAAAAGCTGCAGGTCGTCTAGCCAGACCTCAAAATCAATGGCTCGACCCTCGGCGTCAAAGGCTAGGACACTAGGGGTGGCCATGATGACGACAGCGAAGCAGTGCAAGCAGTAGGGAAAGAGGGCGCAGTGACAGAGGGACTGTGCTCACCAGGCAGGGCAAGTCGTGCAGCTCAGCAGAAAGGCGGATCGACTCCCGGGCAGCTCGGCAGCTGTGGGGCGGCTCGGGTGCTGCTGGGCGGCTCGGCCGCTGCTGGGCGGTCCGGCTGCTGCTGGGCGGCTCGGCTGCTGCTGGGCGGCTCGGCTGCGGCTGGGCGGTCCGGCTGCTGCTGGGCGGCTCGGCTGCTGCTGGGCGGTCCGGCTGCTGATGGGCGGCTCGGCTGCTGCTGGGCGGCTCGGCTGCTGCTGGGCGGGCCGGCTGCAGTGCAGCGGCGGGGCCTGGACAGAGGCCGGCGGGGCCGGGACAGGTGCAGTGGCGGGCCGGGAAAGGTGCAGCGGCGGGCCGGGACAGGTGCAGCGGTGGGCCGGGACAGGTGCAGTGGCGGGCCGGGACAGGGGACGGCGGGGCCGGGTGTGCAGTGGCGGGGCCGTCAGGGTGCAGCGGCGGGCCGTCAGCAGGTACAGCGGCGGGCCGTCAGGGTGCAGCGGCGGGCCGTCAAAAGGTGCAGCGGCGGGCCGTCAAAAGGTGCAGCGGCGGGCCGTCAGGGCTCAGCGGCGGGCCGGGAAGGTGCAGCGGCGAGGCCGGGAGAGGGGACGGCGGGGCCGTGACAGGAAACGGCGGGGCCGGCAGAATGCAGCGGCGGGCCGTCAAAAAAGGGACGGCGGGGTCGTAAAAAACGGGGCCCGCGGCCGCGACGAAGCGGCCGCGTGGCCGATTCGAGGGCGGCGGGGCACAGCCGGGCCGAGAGGGCGGCGCGGCGCGGCCGTAAAGCCCGCGCGACGTGGGCCCGAGCCGCGCGCGCTAAAAAAAAATTTCGCGCGCTACTCGCGGGGGGCCCACAAAGGCAGCGGGAAATGCACTAAGGGGGGAGGGGGGGGAGCGCGCCTCGGGGAGAGTAGGGCGCTCCGGGCAGAGAGAATATCGTGGGTGGGCCCAAAAAAAAAAAAATCGGTCCTTAAGAGGGACCCGCTCTATACCATGTGAAGATAGGTAAACAGGAATGAAATGACTAAGTCAGGAATTGGTACAAAAGGGAAACCTAATTGTGTTGTACCCCTTATGGGATACCCCACTGTAGCCTACACAAACAGGTAAGCTATATGTTCTGACACCTATAGCAACACCAACACCCGTAAATGCACCTGCACAGTCGGACAAACCAATCATCATTTCGTCCGGGACACCGTCACAGCACGACAGTTTGGGACAGCGCTCAGGCATAGCCAGTGATGGCGCAGCCCAATCAATGCCCGGCATGACGAGGAACAGGGCCGCTCCGACCATGAATCTGCCGCGCGAAACGCATCGTCACGTCGAATTTGCGGTGCCAGCAGGCACCGACGACATTTACAAGCTGATGCTGCTCAAGCCGCAGTGCCCGCCCTGTTTCGATCTTAACCAACGCGGGAGTCCGACAGTTCAATCGTGGATTTTCATGATGAACGTGTTTTTCGACGCCAATTACGTTGTCGCGGACGCAACGAAGATCCGATTTGCAGTTTCGCTGCTATGAGGCCCCGCCATGGACTGGTGGCGAGTGATCGTCACCTTGCCGCACGCCTACGAGCCGCCATCGCAAGAGGAAGGGCCAACGGGGCCGGCCGTTACCTGGCGTTCTTTCTACGAAACCGCTCAATACAGCACGTAGGATGCAAGTGTCAGAACATTATAGCTTATACATTTGTGTAGGCTATAGTGGGGTAGCCCATAAGGGGTACAACCCAATTAGGGTTAGTACTTGTACCCAACTCTTTCATAGTTCATTCATCCATTCTCACTTCTCGTCATGGTATCGAGCAGGTTCCCGAGTGGGAATACTGCCTAGGGCCCACCACGTTTTTTTTTTTGGGTTGCGAAGCAACCTATTACAATCGTTATGTACATTTTTTTTTTCAATCCTCAATACCTTTAAAAAATAGAGGGAAAAAATATAGTGAACGGTACTAGCTAAATGACTGACTGCTATGTATCTGCCGCGTCAATTTACCACGTGCTGAACCACATTCTTTCTCATTTCCTAGTTTACTTTGACTGAACCTATATTTCATGAGTTGCCAAAATGATGTACTGTGAATGCATAACTGTTTATTCCGTGATGCATATGTCTGCTATTGTTATAAGTAGATGAAGTAAATGCAAATGCATAAGTATAATGCATATACGGTACTACCGGTACCGTAATGAAATAAATGCACAGCATGATGGAAGTGCGTAACAGTTAATTGACGCAGACCCTATGCTACCGCATCCCCTGCCTAGCATGGGGGGGAGCTCAATAGCATAATTTATGAATCATCCAACTGTTACATGAAACAACACAATCTGTGTGATATAAAAAACAGGTCAATTCCATCAAATCCAGTTCGAATGGACACACTCACTGAGTGCGCAAAGAACCTTCTCGGAAATGATAGTTTGATCCCAATTTTTAAACCCCACAGACATGTGTTATTAATGCAATGGAAACATGAATGAAAACGCATACGCACACAACACAACGCATACACATGATCATACACATTCACACAGACACGCACGCACGAAGCCAACTGACAAAGCATATTAACCGCATATGAAATAGAAACCTAAATCACCAAGACATTATGTATCCTATACTGTAAGTCACAAGCAATATCAGTCTACTTCTCATATTGAGCTCGACTGCCTGAAAAGTAAGACAAAGCTGGGTTGAGGAAGGGAAGGCAAATGGGAAATAACAAGGCATAATGAAATTACAAGAAAAAGGAATAATGAAGAAACAAATGAAACAATACAAGGGCCAAGAAAAACGCCATGAGCATTGAAGGGTTAGAGCTGACAAATAACAAGGAGAAAATGTACTAAGGCATAAAACGAAAGTAAAGAACGAGAAAAAAGGGAAAAACACATGACCAGACAGTAAACGAACGAAGAGAATATAACAAATACGTTGAGCGAGAACAACGGAGACCGAGAGCGAGAGCGAGAGCGAGAGAGAGAGAGAGAGAGAGAGAGAGAGAGAGAGAGAGAGAGAGAGAGAGAGAGAGAGAGAGAGAGAGAGAGGACGAGAGAGCGAGAACGAGAGAGTGGACGAACGAGAGAGAACGAACGAGAGATTTGACAAAAGAGAACGAGAGAACGACAGAGACGGAACGAGAGAGAGAGAGAGAGAGAGAGAGAGAGAGAGAGAGAGAGAGAGAGAGAGAGAGAGAGAGAGAGAGAGAGAGAGAGAGAGAGAGAGAGAGAACGAGAGAGAGAACGAGAGAGAGAACGAGAGAGAGGGAACAAGAGAGAGGGAGAACGAAAGAGAGAGAGAGAGAGAGAGAGAGAGAGAGAGAGAGAGAGAGAGAGAGAGAGAGAGAGAGAGAGAGAGAGAGAGAGAGAGAGAGAAAGAAAGAGAGAGAGAGAGAACGAGAGAGAGAGAGAGAGAGAGAGAGAGAGAGAGAGAGAGAGAGAGAGAGAGAGAGAGAAAACGAGAGAGAAAGAAAACGAGAGAGAACGAGAAAGAGAACGAGAGAGAGAACGAGAGAGAGAAAACGATAGAGAGAGAACGGGAGAGAGAGAACGGGAGAGAGAGAACGGGAGAGAGAGAACGGGAGAGAGAGAACGAGCGAGAGAGAACGGGAGAGAGAATGGGAGAGAGAGAACGAGCGAGAGAGAACGGGAGAGAGAGAACGGGAGAGAGAGAACGGGAGAGAGAGAACGGGAGAGAGAGAACGAGCGAGAGAGAACGAAATGGACTGAACATGCAACCTATTACAATCTTTATGTACAACCTAAGACGAGGTTGAGAAAAAAATGAACTAAAACATGCAAATATGAAGAAAAGGCAACCGACGAGAGGAAAAGTTTAAGGATGAAGAATAGAAGAAACAGATGCAAGCTTATGCAGGAAGGAGAACCTGAAATCTTTACAAAGGGCCGAGAACCTAAGTTTAAACAACTAAGTCTCGCTAATACTCATCCATTTACACGGCTAGGATACGGAATGACTAAATGTTAGTCTATCTAATAGGCATCTAATTTAGTTGGAGTTAAAGTTGAGGGATCTTCTTACCTAAGTTGCAGTTAGAGTAGGTGGAGAAGTTGGTAGAGCGTGACGAGCGAGGAGAAGCGGGAGAAAAAAAGGGCGAACAAACCCTAAGGTAGTCTCAGATTCGTTGCAATGTTTTATGTCTGACTAACTTAGCTACTCAAGGCAAACATCTGTGCTGTAGCAGTGGTACAAGGCTTGGAGTGGAATCGAAAGGTCCTTGGTTCGATTCTCGTTCTCGCAGTACAATGGACCTTTTCCTGGTGAGAGGAAGTACCACTTAGTGTCATATTACAGCATTATGTACAGAATTAGAAGTTGTACAAATTTATATAATTACGCAAAACGCTTCGCAACCCTAAGACGAATTCGTCGCCTCTTGTTTTTTTTTTCCTTCTCTGCTCGGAGCGCGCTTAGCTCCTAACCTCGAGTAGCGCCCCGAGCCGCCTTAGTGTCCCCTTTTGGCCGCCCTTACTGCCCCTTGAGCCGCCCGCTACGGCTCCGTCGGCCCCGTTACGGCCCCGCTTATGCCCCGCTACGGCCCCGCCAGCCCCGCTTAGGCCCCGCTACGGCCCCGTCGGCCCCGCATAGGCCCCGTTGGCCCTGCTTAGGCCCCGCTTAGGCCCCGCTACGGCCCCGATACGGCCCCGTCGGCCCCGTTACGGCCCCGCTACGGCCCCATCGGCCCCGCTTAGGCCCCGCTTAGGCCCCGCTACGGACCCGTCGGCCCCGCTTAGGCCCCGTCGGCCCCGCTACGACCGAGCTACGCCCCCGCTACGACCCAGCTACGGCCCCGCTACGGCCCCGTCGGCCCCACTTAGGCCCCGTCGGCCTCGCTTAGGCCCCGCTACGGCCCTGCTACGGCCCCGCTATGGCCCCGTCGGCCCCGCTTAGGCCCCGTCGGCCCCGCTACGGCCCCGTCGTCCCCGCTACGGCCCCGTCAGCCCCGCTTAGGCCACGCTACGGCCTCGCTTCGGCCCCGCTTAGGTCGCGTCAGCCCCGCTACGGCCCCGCTTAGGCCCCACTTCGGCCCCGTCGGCCCCACTTAGGCCCCGTGTCGGCCCCGCTACGACCCCGTCGGCCCCGCTACGGCCCCTCTTAAGCACCTACTACGGCCCCGTCCCGTCGCCACCGCGGCCCCGCCCACCCTTGCGGCCAGCCGCCATCTGCGACCCCGCCGCCCAGCGCCCGCAGCGCCGAGTAGCTGAGCCGCCCGACCGCCCGAGCCGCCCAGCAACCGAGCCGCCACGCAGCCAAGCCGCCCAGCAGCCGAGCCGTCGGACCGCCGAGCCGCCTAGCAGCCGAGCCGCCCAGCAGCCGAGCCGCCCAGCAGCCGAGCCGCCCGACGGCCGAGCCGCCTAGCACCGTGCAGCCGAGCCGCCCAGCAGCCGAGCCGCCCAGCAGCCGAGCCGCCCTGCAGCCGAGCCGCCCGACAGCCGAGACGCCGAGCAGCCCGATCGCCCCACCTTCCTGGTAAGAGCCCAGTCTCTGCCACTGCACTACCCTGCCTCACTGCCCTCACTGCCTGCCTACTGCTGTTATGGCTTCCCCTAGCGTTCTCACCTTTGACGCTGAGGGTTGGGTAGTGGACTTTGAGGTCTGGGTAGATGATCTGCAGCTTTTTCTGCAGTGCGATAGGGCAGACGGCCTCTCCCTGTTTGACCTCACTTCTGGTGCCTCCCCTGCCCGTGCTGCTGACGCTGAGGCCACTCTTCGCTCACATTATGCCACACGTGATGCTGCTGCTCGCCTTGCTGTTCGCCGCCACTTTCTGACCACTGAGCGTGCGCACTTTAGCCAGTACAAGAGTGCTCAGACCTTGTACGACGCTGTAGTTGCACGCTACTCTTCCCCTGCCACTGCTGCATTGAGCCGCCTCATGCTACCATTCCTCTTCCCTGACCTTGCTGCCTTTCCCACTGTCGCTGACCTCATTACGCACCTCCGCACTCTTGACACTCGCAACCACACTGCGCTTCCTCCTGAGTTTTGCGCCAAGAACCCCCCCCCCATGTACATCACCCTCTACTACATAGTCACCCGGCTCCCTGACTCTCTCCGCGTAGTCAGGGACCACTTCCTCTCAGTTTGCCCCACCACTCTCACCGTTGACCTCCTCGAGAAGGCCCTCCTAGCTATAGAGAAGAGCATAGTCGTTGTAGGTGCCTCTCGTGGTGACCCTCGCACCCCCGTCTTTGAGGGGTGTTCTCCCTCCCCCCTCTTGCCCTCTGTTGCCTTTGCTGCTGCAGCCGACCTCGTTCGTTTCGAGTCGGTCGGCGCTGCGTCTGCCTCGAGCGGGAGACGCCGCACCGGCAAGGGCAAGGGGGGCAAGGGCACTGGAGGGGGTGGAGGGGGCGATGGAGGTGGTGGTGGAGGCGGTGGAGGGAGTGGGGGTGGTGGTGGGAGTGGTGCCGGGGGTGGTGGCGGCGGCGGCAGCAGTGGAGGCGGCGGAGGCGGTGGAGGTGGCGGAGGGAGCGGAGGTGGCGGAGGTAGTGGAGGAGGCGGAGGTGGAGGAGGCGGTGGAGGCGGCGGAGGCGGCGGCGGCAGAGGCGGCGGTGGTGGAGCGAGTCGCGACTCTACACCGAGGAGTGGCGCCGGTGGTGGTCAGCGCCATCAGCAGCAGCGGTGTGGTGTGACCATGTCCCCTCAGCAGCTTCGTGAGTGGTACATTGCACGCCAGCGCGGTGGGGGATTTGGTCCCTACTCTTACATTCTCCGTACCGGAGATCCGCACTCCACCCAGCACTGCTTTGGTCGCCTGACGGACGCGTGGCGTCGCCAGTTCCGTGAGGCGTCAGAGATCCCTCGCTGGGGAGATTTGGCTAAGGCCGGGGTTGCTATCTTTGATCTTGACTTTGATGCTATTCTTGCTGCCATGTATGCTGTTGCTGATAGTGTTGAGGGTGCCTGTTACCTGTGTGTACCGCATGACCCGGGCATTGAGGCTATTGCGCTAGGTGCTGGTGAGGCTGCTGCTCTAGGTGCTCGTGCGTCTACTGCCCCAGGTGCCAGTGCGTCTCCTGCCCCAGGTGCTGGTGAGTCTGCCCTGAGGTACTACGTGGGCTCAGGCCTTCCACACCTTCACCCTGGACTCGGGTGCATCCCGCTCCTTCTTTCGAGACCGCACCACTCTTACGCCGCTTAGTCGGCCGGCTGCAGTCTCCCTGGCAGACCACTCTGGGGGTCCTGTCCTTGCTAGCTTCTCCACTGTCCTTCCGTGCCCTGCAGCCCCCTCTTGCACCCTGTCTGGTCTCTACCTCCCCTCGTTCTCTACGAACTTGGTGAGTGGAGCGGACCTACAAGATCGAGGGGTTGACCAGTTCACTCCTGCGAGTCAGCGAGTGACCCACTGCACGTGTGCTCGGACAGGCCGACACTTGGCCACGTTCACCCGTCGGCCAGGGTCGAGCCTGTACACCCTTACTGCTGAGTCTCCTCCTACTGCTGAGTCTGCCCAGGTGGCTGCGTCGAGTCAGGTGTTTGGTGCAGCGTCCAGGTCTGGTACTGAGTCTGCCCCCTGCTCGTGTCGTCTGCTGTCCCACCAGACTCTCCTTTGGCACCACCGCCTTGGTCACCCCTCCTTGCCTCGTCTCCGAGGCATGGCCTCTCGTGTTGTAGTCTCTGGTCTTCCTCAGTCTCTCCCTCCCCTTCCTCCGGGGCCTGGCCCTACCTGCGTCCCCTGCGTAGAGGGGCGACAGAGGCTTCGCTGCAGACTCTTCACATGGACGTGTGGGGCCCCGCCGCGTCTGTGGCCAGGGTCACGAGCGTTACTTCCTGTTGGTGGTTGACGACTACTCGCGTTACACCACGGATTTCCCCTTGCGCAGCAAGGGTGACGTCATTGAGGTGTTGATTGACTGGATCCGCGCAGCTCGTCTCGAGCTCAGAGAGAGTTTCGGCTCGGACTTTCCTGTTCTGCGCCTGCACTCGGACAGAGGCGGGGAGTTTTCAATACGCCGTGCATCAGCTCAACCTTCAGCCCCGGGTCTCCTTGCCGGAGACCTCCCCTGCCTTGCGGTGGATAGGGAAGGTTGGCGATGCGTCTGCGTTTCGGGTATGGGGATCTCGAGCGTTTGTCCGCAACTTGTCTGCGGACAAGCTGTCTCCCCGTGCTGTTCCTTGCGTCTTCCTTGGCTTCCCCCCCTGACGCGACTGGCTGGCGGTTTTACCACCCCAACACGCGTCGTGTTCTGTCCTCCGAGGACGTCACCTTTGACGAGTCGGTGCCTTACTACCGTCTCTTCCCCTATTGCACTGTGCCCCTCCCCCCGCCGCCGCTCTTCCTTGCGCTAGGTGCTACCCAGGTAGACCCCCTCCCTCCTGAGGGTCCTGCCCCTTCAGGTGTATCCCAGGTAGATGAAGTCGAGCCTGTCGAGGTAGCTGTTGACTATGGTGCTGCTAGAGGTGCTGAGCTTGCGGGTGCCGGGCCTGGGGGTGCTGAGTCTGGGGGTGCTGAGACTGGAGGTGCTGAGCCTAAGGGTGCTGAGTCTGGGGGTGCTGAGCCTGGGGGTGCGTAGCGTGGGGGTGCTGGGTCTGCTCGTGTGGCCGCCGGCGGTGCTTCGTTGGGGCGGGAGCCGCTCTCTCCGCAGGAGCTGCGCGAGTGGTTCGCCGGCCGCTGGAGACGTGCTGCTGAGTCTGGGGGTGTTGTTGAAGCTGCTGTCGGTGCTGGTGCTGCTGGAGTGGGTGCTGGTGGGGGTGTTGGCGCTGGTGTTTCTACTGGTGCTGGTGCGTCTGTGGGTGCTGCTGAGGCAGCTGGTGGTGACGGTCCTGCTGGAGTTGGTGCTGCTGGAGCTGGAGCTTCTGGGGGTGTTGGCGCTGGTGTTTCTATTGGTGCTGGTGCGTCTGGGGGTGCTGCTGAGGCAGCTGGTGCTGACGGTCCTGCTGGAGTTGGTGTTGTTGGAGCTGGAGCTGCTGGGGGTGTTGGCACTGGCGGTGTTGCTGGTGCTGGTGATTCTAAGGGTACTGGAGTTGGCGCTGTTGGAGCTGGAGGCTCTGATGGCGCTGGTGCTGCCGCTGGGGGTACTAGTGCCGTCCTTGCTAGTTCTGGAGGCGCTGAGCGGCCGAGGCCGTACTTCGTTCCGCTCTTGGAGCAGGTTCTTGGTCTCCCTCCCTCTTCTGGTCCTGAACCTCCCTTAGAGTGTCCACAGCCTGTCCAGTCGTAGTCACAGTTACAGCCCGCCTCCCCGCTTCCTACTCCTTCTCCCTACACTGGTCATACTCGAGGTCTTGGTGAGCGTCGTGAGCCTGCGTCCCGCCCTGCGTCGCCTGTTCGTGCTGCTCGCACTAGTCATAGTGCTGCGCGTCCGCGTCCTCCTGCGGTCCCCGGCACGCACCAGATGGCACTGCGTCCGTCCACTGCTCCTCTGCATGTCCCGTTGCTGTCTCCTCCAGAGTCCTCTCTTCCTTCTCTTGCTGACCCGGAGTCTGACTCCCTTCGTGCTACTAGTCCTTCGGTCACGCGCCTTCTTGCTACTATTGTCACTGACCCTACCTTTGAGTCCACTATTGCGTCTGCTCTAGTTGCTGAGCTTGTCGACTTCGCTGCTCGCTGTCGTTTAGACTACGCTGCCAGTCTTGTTGCTGAGTCTGAGTCTGTCTGTCCTCTGTCCGTCGGGGGTGAGTGTGCTCTCAGCACAGACGTCCTTGAGGACAGGCAGGAGGAGTTCCAGTGCTTTGCGGCTGCATTGCCCCATCTCGTGTCCACGCTGATTGCCCGTGAGGGAGACCCGGATGCACCAGACATCCCGACTCCTCGATTGTACACTGAGGCGATCGAGGGTCCCTACTCCTCTCAGTGGCAATCGGCCATGGACGCAGAGATGGCTTCCTGGAAGTCCACAGGCACCTACGTCGACGAGGTTCCCCCACCTAGGGCGAACATCGTCAGTGGGATGTGGATCTTCAGGGTGAAGAGGCCGCCGGGCTCTCTGCCTGTCTTCAAGGCGCGTTACCTGGCTCGATGCTTCAGTCAGCGGCAGGGAGTTGACTACTTTCAGACTTTCTCTCCCACCCCGAAGATGACCACTCTTCGGGTGCTGCTGCACATAGCCGCTCAGCGCGACTACGAGCTTCACTCTCTTGACTTCAGCACAGCTTTCCTGCAAGGCAGCTTGCACGAGGAGATCTGGCTGCGCCGCCCTCCTGGCTTCTACATCCTCGTGTACTTTGACGACTTGGTCTTTGCCACTGCTGACAGTGCTGGACTCGCCCACGTGAAGTCCGAGCTGTAGAAGAGACACACGTGCACAGACCTGGGTGAACTGCGCAACTACCTTGGCTTGGAGATCACCCTGGCTAGAGCACAGCGCACCATTACCCTAACTCAGTCACACATGGTGCAGCTTGTCCTTCAGCGCTTCGGCTTCACGTACTCCTCGCCTCAGGCCACTCCTCTGTCTACTCGCCACTCGCTCTCAGCTCTGCCTTCGGATGAGTCCGTAGAGCCGAGTGGCCCGTACCCAAAGCTTGTTGGCTGCCTCATGTACCTGATGACCTGCACACGACATGACCTTGCATACCCTTTTAGCATCTTGGCACGCTATGTTGCTCCTGGGAGACACAGACCAAAGCACATGGCTGAAGCGAAGAGGGTGTTGCGCTACGTGTGCAATATGTTAGGCATGGGGCTAGTGCTTGGAGGGCGACATCGAGTAGTCCTCACAGGTCACGCTGACGCTTCTTGGGTTGTCGACCAGGCTTTGCAGCGGTCGTCACAGGGTTACAACTTCAGCCTTGGCTCCGGCTCTGTTTCCTGGCGGTCTACCCGCTCGTCCTCTGTTCTCGGCTCCAGCTGTGAGGCTGAGATCTACGCAGGGGCCATGGCTGCACAGGAGCTACGCTGGCTCACCTACCTGCTGACTGATCTAGGAGAGCCGCCTTGTTCTCTTCCAGTTCTGTACGTAGACAACAAGGCCATGCTGGCCTTGTGTCAGGAGCGCAGACTGGAGCACAGAACGAAGCACATTGCTCTCCGCTACTTCCTGGCTCGTGAGGTGCAGCAGCGTGGTCAGTTACGTGGCCTCTGAGGCCAACACTGCTGATATCTTCACCAAGGCCTTCTGTCTTGTGTTCATTAGCGCTTCTGTACTTTGCTAAGTCTTGTGCCTACCTGGCCTCACTTGCTCACTTCTTGATCTTGTTTGTATAGTACTCTTTCTATACCTGCACTTGCTTGGCCTTACATGCACGAACCGGAGCGGGTGGACCGTTACGTCGGAGGGTTGAAGCCGGACATCTCGCACAAAATTATGCTACGCCGAGATTCTCGTGCTTGCCAAGGCCGGGGTCCTACTACGGACATCGTCCTCGGGCCACTGTATACGCCGACCGAGCACGCCACTGTAAACGCCGTTGCAATGAATGTAGCTGTCACACCGCTTAAGGGGCGCTGTTTTGCTTACAATAGGCCGGGCCACCGCAAGAACGTGTGCACAGAGGAACAAAGGGGCTGTGGAGCAGAGCAGGGGAGAGAATCTCAGAGGCAGGGAAACGCTTGCAGGCAGTAGAAAATGGGCCAACTACTGATGAGATTAGCTGCTCGCCCAACCTCACCGACCCTCATCGAGTTACACTACCGATTCAGGCCATCAATCGGGCTCGGATGAATAAGGAGGGTACAGCGACGGATTGCCCAGTA